AAATAAAAAAATAAAAAATAGAGTATTGTTTCACTGATTAATATTTTGTACATTTGAGAAATGACAGGTTGAAGATTTATATGTAACTGTTAAAACATCATCTGAATCACAAATCATGATTTATTCTAATATTTCAACATGTCATTCTTACTCTAAAGCTTAGTAACACATCAATGAAGTCTGTAGCTCTGTACCAAGGTTCTTTTACAGATATTCCCTGCAATACTGTATGTTTGATAATCTTTGTATTATACTTTGCCACATCTTGCATTGTAGCTAACTCCTTGAATATTGTTTTACTAAATAAGTAACTATTGACAATGCACTGTCATTTAAAGACTTATAAGAAAACCTTTTTGACTTAACGCTACTTTTCTAAGAATTATCAACATTAGAAAACTAATGATAAAACTCACCTCCCCTCCATTAACAAAATCCAGAACAAAATAAAGTTTTTCACTTGTCTGGAAAGAATAATGTAATCCAACCAAAAATGGATGCTTCACATTTTTCAAGAGAACATTACGTTCAGCCATAATATGTTTTTGCTGGAAAAAAGGGCAAAGTATCAATTTGTATTAAATATCAGAACACAATTCTGTTAATTAAGAAAATAGGCTCAGGAGAAACAACGGATATTTTATTTTTACCTCTTTCCTGTTGAGAACTACTTTTTTCTGTAACACTTTGACAGCATAAAATTTCCCATCTAGTTTTCGTTTTGCAAGAAGAACCTGTTATAAAGATTGTATAAATTATTAAAACTGCAATATTTTCATAGGGATTATTCATCTATCAATTAAACAATAGCTCTTAAATATTGTGAAAAGTTCAGAGTCCTAGATAATATGTTTTTATGCGAACTACACAATTTATTTTTCAACTCCATTTTCTTAAGGTTTTTCAATAAAAAAAATGTATTAATATGAATATCCAGGCCCTATTACTTACTGTGCTGATGAATTTAATTGCCAAAATCTAATCTGCTTGAGATGCCTTTGTGTTTGTGTATGTGCATGTGTGTATGCACATGTGCTCCAGCCTTGTACCCTTAGAAAATACTGAGGCTATAAA